GCCCTTTGGTGATCAGCAAAGGCTATTGTTCAAGTAAAAGCTCTTTAATGTCATCAATCCATCTTCTCTTAGGGCTGCTCTTGCTTTCCTTTTTGATCGTTTCATCTGCAGCGCCTGCATTTGTAAAAGGTTCTATAATTTCAGCATTTTTAAATTTTATTTTAGGAAGCTTGCTCAGAGGACAACTTCACCCACACGGATACAGTAAGCTATGGTAGGTTCTATACCTTCCGCATCGAGGACTCTCTTCTTCGGTATGTGCTAATTAATTTATATTTCTGTCACCATTATTATCATAATCATCAACTTCATACTCTTCCTCCTCTTCTTCTAATCTTCTTATCATCCCCTCTCCTCCTACTTTTCCATTTTTTGTTCTTCTCCTTGTCCTGCTGGTATCCTAATAACTTTAATTTTTAGGGAGTTTGTTTAATATTATTATTAGCTGCCCAGCAGTTTGCACTTTTGGCTCAATGTTTCTCCCATACCTCTGCTTCAAATATTGTTTATTCTACCTCTTCCACTGTATGTCGACTTAATTTAAACAATCTTTAAATTATGGTTTTGACGACATTGTTACAGACAAAACATGATAAAACAGAGCATTTGTTTTGCCCATTTCCATTCAATTCTTTAAAAAACGTGTCAAAATCGCCAAGGTCAGTGATTTCAGTTTTTCAAAAACATCTCTCATCTATATTAAAAAAATCTTAATTTTCAGATGTTGTAATCCCTAAACTCTGAAACTACTGAACCGATTGCTTTCAAATTTGCACACAACGTTGCCTTCGACTCCAAGCGTGATTTTTTGTCAGAAAATCTCACAAACCACGAACGACGTAGCTCCAGCAACGGTCAAATCATTTTTTGTTTCGTTGCCGGCCCGGATTTCTTTTCTATGTCAGACACAGTTAGCTGAAAGAGCTAAAATTTTTATTTTAACGTTTTTTTTTTTTCTTAGCTATTTATATTTTAATAATTTCGCCAGGTGATGATTTTTAAATCCTTCGGAGAGGGAAATATGATGGGGAAAGGGATGGGGGGGGGGGGGTTATGCCAGACACAATTAGCAGAGAGAGCTTAAAGTATTATTTTACAGTTTTCATTTCTCAACTATTTCTATTTATATAATTTCACCATGGATGATTTTTCAGTGCTTCAAAGAGGGAGATATGACTTCGCAAGGTGATGATTTTTTAATCTTTCAGAGAGGGAAATGTGACTGGGGGAGGGGGGGGGGGTTATGTCAGACACAGTTAGCTGAGAGAGCCTAAAATATTATTTAAATGTTCTTATTTCTTAGCTCATTCTATTTTACTAATTTCGCCATGGATGATTTTTCAATCCTTCGGAGAGGAAGATATGACTGGGTCGAGGGTAGAGGAAGGGGGGAGGGGGGTATGACAGACACTGTTAGCTGAGAGCTTTTTCTTTCCTCTCTATTTCAGCATTCTGGGCCACAGCAACGCGTGGCCGGGTACAGCTAGTGTCTTATAAAGTTACAACATTTCTAAAAAATCCATAAGAATAGTACCTTCTGATTCTGTATAACTGTACTCATTATCTGACATGTGTAACTGTTTTCAGGATCCATACTATATGTATATTTGTATCGTTAATGGTAACAAACTGTTAAGTTGAGATTTAATTTTCTCAGCTGAACTTTGAAAAAGACACAAGAAAGTTATGGAAGCTTGTAAAACAAATTAATGATGAGGACACAAGGTGGAACTCAAAGATCACGCTGCCGAAAGATGGAAACATGGTCACAGGAAAAGAGGCAGCCAACCTCTTTGCAGACACTTTTGCATTAGATAATGGCATTGAAATCAGTTCAGAGAAAAAACAAGAAATTCAAGAAAAGACACTATTCAGAAGTCCGAAAGAAATAACATCAGAGGCGCTAGAGGTGCCACTTACACTTAATGAACTGGAGTTGGCCATTTCAAAGCTGAAAATGCGGAAGTCACCAGGAGCAGATGGTATATCTAACGAAATGATCAAAAACTTAGGAACAGTGGCCAAAACCAAGCTTTTACAGATATTTAATGCTTTCTAGGCAACAGGAAATGTTCCACAGATCTGGAGAGAGGCAATTATAATACCCCGCATAAAGCCTGGGAAAGACAGTTCTAATGCCTCCAACTACAGACCGATCAACTTAACAAGCAGTCTCCGCAAAACAATGAAGTGCATTACCAACCTCAGACTACAATGGTACATTGAAAGTGAAAACATCATTACACCACAGCAGGCGGGCTTTAGAAAGTTCTACTCTACGGAAGACCAGACAACATACCTCTCTCAAGAAATAGAGGATGCTTTTCAAGACAAGAAACTGGTAATCGCGGCATGCATAGATTTAAGGAAAGTTTTTGACAAGGTTTGGAAGGAGGGACTTTTGAAGAAATTGAGAAACTATAAAGTAAATGGAAGAATGTACAATTGGATTAAAGCATATCTACATAACAGAAGAGCCCGGGTACAGGTAGATGGTTTCAAAAGTAAAAAAGTTCTACTGCGACATGGCGTCCCTCAAGGGGGTGTCCTGTCGCCCACATTTTTCCTCTTATTTATCAACGACCTGGTTGCTGAAATACCAAATGGAATCAAAATGGCAATGTATGCCGATGACCTGGTACTGTGGTGCACCGATGAACATGCAACGATAGCCACAAGAACACTACAGCGGGCTACATATGCACTTGAGGCATGGTCGAATAGATGGTGTGTCAGCATCAATACAGACAAATGTAGCACCACACTCTTCACTCTTTCCCCAAAGCAAAAAGCGGGCATCATCAAAATAAACGTAATACCCCTAAGAGATGATAAAGAGCCCACGTACCTCGAAGTCACATTTGATGACAGGTTGACATGGATAAAACATATCAATAAGGCAGCAACCAAAGCCAGGAGGAAGACAGCCATACTAAGAAAACAAAGTGGAACCACATGGGGAGCCAGTGGGAAAATACTCAATAAAGTATACAAGCAGAGCATACAACCACACTTGGAATATAGGTCAACTGCATGGTGTTCAGCATCTAGTGTAAAAGTGCATCGACATGTTTCATCAAGAAATCAACACTTGCTGCACAGGTATGGAAAGTATATCAGCTGGGTTTGCAGCTCTCGAGCCCAGGAATCTGCTCACAGCTAAGACGACGAACCTCCACAGTTAATGCAAAAGTTATAAACTATGATGAACCTTATTAAGACAGTATCATTATAAAGATTACGTGACTAAGACAACATCTATAAGCAGCCTAGGTTTCATAAAAAGATTCTCTGGAATGATTTTATTTATGATTGTTGGTTTGCTGTTAAATGTGTATTCTCAGATCCTCTACTAAATTTCACTTTAACCCTAAGATTCATGTTGACTTTATGTGTTTCAGTAGCGTTCATTGAGAGGAGTTTTTTTAAACTTTTATTAATCAAGAGTTTTCTAGGTTCACTATGAGTCGAGCTGTGCTCTCTGAATTAGCCATCGCATCAGGTCAAAACAAAATAAAGAAAGTATTAATTATAATTATGTGATTTCAAATGTGTGGTTAAAACGTCAGGCTTTCGTGCAGAAGAGCCGAATTCGAACCCTCGTAAAGTGATGGAGTTGTTCTATCGGGTGCAAAATAACTAGCAACCCAACATGCACTTGCCTCCTCACTGAGCACCCTCACTTAACACCGCGATACGACATCAGTCCCATTTATCCAAATGTTTTTTTTTTTTTTTTTGCCCACTCTGTAAGAAATCTACACGGCGTAACAACAACTAGTCCACTAACTATTAAACAGATAACTAGTGAGCAGCCACCAGACCTATTTGCCTAATTTCATTTTTACTCAATATTATACCACCATATGCACAGGGGCAGCTAGCACGCCTCTGCTTGCTATCACGACAACTTGATCCCTCACTAATTCACCGGCAACTCTTTTGCGACATGACACCTGACCCGGTTACCCTAATTGTCCTTTTTTTTTACATTAATACAAAGCATAGCGCCATATGCTTGGGTAAGGGGATGAGGGTGGAGCTTTTAAAACCCCTCATCTAACTAACCAATGCAACAACTTGCCTCCTTACTGGGCACCCATACTACACCCTTAATGGATTGTTTCCCCTAAGCAATATTATCAAGACACTATAACCTGAACACCTGTCAGATCACATCTTGTGATTATGTTTTTCAACTACACATATTTGACTCTTCTGCTTGACTAATATTAAAAACCTACTACCAGCACCTAACCGCATCTTACAAGAACTGAACAAACACTGACATAGCCATTTTGTACCTTATTTTCCTGTATAAAGGCATACTTTACCGTAAACTCGAATTCTCAATGACAAAGCATTTTAACTCTTCTAAGACAACAATACAAATCAAAGCAATTATTAGCCCTGATCTCTCATGTACCAGACACATACACACACACTATTAGCAAAGAAAATAGACCCCCTATTATCAATTACCTACGACATGCTTGTTGATACGCAAAAGCTATCCATATATCATAGCCTAGCTGCACACTTCCATAAACGCAACTGATCCCAGACCACAGCTGACATAGCCTGGATCACTTTGCCCTCACGCCCAGAAGGAGAAACTCGTTTCTTTTCCTTTTCATTGGACTATTCAGAGTTTAAAACCTTGTTTACTAAAAATAAAGAAGAACGCTTTTAATATAGAACATAGAAGGGAAACCCACACAAATAGGCGAGATAAAGTTAATGGTTACTATGGTGCTGTCAGCGTGCAAGAAAGTGCTAAGTCAGGGTCGATTCACGTGTAGGCACAATCATGTTGGTGGACTTGTTGGACCACATTAGCGGAAGGGTGCCAACAACCAGACCTGTCCAAACGCCCCCCCCCATCCCTCTCCCCCAATGCCCGTGTGCATTTCGTCAAGGCTGGGCAGTGACCAAATGGTAACTTCAGCAAGGCTGCAAACCTTCCATCTAACCTCGACCACGCAAAGACTGGCAGCAAGCGGTTGACCTAAGTGACTAAGTGACAGTTACCCTGTCATGGTTCAGATGAGAAAACTGAGGCCCCACATAGTGCTACATTTTCCGACAACTCGCCAGTTCATATTCGTTGAGCTTAGCATTCCATAATGATTGAGTGTTGAGCAGCATTTGCACAAGCTCCAAACGGACAGTGATCTGGTAGCTATGGTACGCAATTCGCATTATCGCTGTCATGATAGGTGTAAGAGGGTTAGTGCCTTACTCCAAATAAAATGTTCTGAAGCTGTGATACAACTGACAGACACTTAATGAGTTGGGTTAGGTGTCAGAGACAGTCTTGCGATGGCTATGGAGTAACTTGAATGCGGTTATGGGGTTGGTCTCGGTAGGCTGGCTTGATGCTCTGTCAAGTCTCAGACAACCCCAGGTTAGTCTGATCAGTCATTGTCTCATCAAGTTCTGTCGGGTCAACATCTGTCAGATCAACGTCCGCACTATGAACCAAACGTCAAACTCTAAACATTGCTCATGCTAATTGCTGACCATTTATCAAGGCTCAGCCATTTAATTCAGTATGGACATGTATAACTCCTAACCGTCGATATCGAAATGGACGACCGTACAGTAGAATCGATTGCAGCAATGCAGAGAAGGAAGGCGTAGACCTGGTGCACGAGTTAACTACAAAAAGAACTGGCTGTTCTCGGATGTGGGCTAAGGCAAATATATGAACAGGACATGACAGTCAATTGTGTGAATTCAGTTACCATAGCCAACGTTAGTATGTTAGCGATTAGGGTGTTTGCGGCCATTTGTATATTTCAATTAGGCTATATTGCATATATATATATGCTCATATGTTTTCAACGATGTTTAGATTTAAAAAAAAAAACAATAGTTATTTCCATAAAATGCAAAAATGCAATCATTTTATTCCTAAATTCTATAGGGTTGAAAGTCGACGTCCATCTTTTTCAAATACTCCAGATAACATTATAATAAATCTTTGGTGTAATATGTCGTTAAAATATAAGTATCTATGCTTAGAATTGATTTTCATGCTTTACATAGGTATCCTTAAATTGAATATATACATCTCTATCCAGCAGTTTTAAAAGTCTAATATATAACACTTGCCTATCTACTAATAACAAACGCAAATCGGCTAATACCCACAATTCGTATTTTACAACAGGCATGTAACCAGACCTGGCCCCAAAAATGGCTTGATATTGGAGCTCAACATTGAACAATACGAATATCTCCCTACCACTTCTCTAGCTGGGGTGAACGTCATAATACATCCATCCAACGAAATCCCATTTCCGGAAGATGGTGGGATTCTAGCACAGCCAGGTGCCGTGACCAGGATTGGGATTAAACAGGTAATGATGATTCATTGAAATCTTTCAATGTCCTGCTGTAAAGCATTTAATTTTCAATGACTAAAAACAGGTATGTATATATATATATATATATTTAAAAAACGTATACTAGCTTCTTATTCTAGTGCGTTCACTCGTAAAATATGTTGGTTTACATATTCTATTGTGGTTAGCATTTTACCTGCGATATCTTCAGGACACCTTGTGAGCTTAAAATGATCTGCACTAGTGAAGTATTAGGGGCAACAACAAAAAAAAAGAAGAAGAAAAAGAAGAAGAAAAGAAGAAGAAGAAGAAGAAGAAGAGGATGAAGAAGAAGAAGAAGAAGACGAAGAAGAAGAAGAAGAAGAAGAAGAAGAAGAAGAAGAAGAAGAAGAAGAAGAAGAAGAAGAAGAAGAAAAAGAAAAAGAAAAAGAAGAAGAAGAAGAAGAAGAAGAAGAAGAAAGAAGAAGAAAGAAGAAGAAGAAAGAAGAAGAAGAAGAAGAAGAAGAAGAAGAAGAAGAAGAAGAAGAAGAAGAAGAAGAAGAAGAAAGAGGAAAGAAGCAAAAAGGAAGAAGAAGAAGAAGAAGAAGAAGAAGAAGAAGAAGAAGAAGAAGAAGAAGAAGAAGAAGAAGAAGAAGAAGAAGAAGAAGAAGAAGAAGAAGAAGAAGAAGAAGAAGAAGAAGAAGAAGTTAAAGAAGGTAATGATGACGATGATGAAGAAAAGGAAGAAGAACATTGGGTAACTGATAATAAATAATTTTGTAAAACATATTTATCTACTCTAGCTCTTGTCTTTCAAAAAACTATTGGCCTATTTTGTTTTGTAGCTGTAACATCCTCACTTCTCTATTCCACATACTCTTTTTCAGAAAAGCATTTCTTTCTCGCCTTTCACGACATTCTTGTTGGGATCTAGATGGTCCTTTTACCCCTGCTCCCTTTTCAAATACCTTTTGAGTATTTGGAATCCACACAGGCAATGTGGAATACCAAAGGCCACTTCAAAACAGAATCCTATTAGAATCGGTAGAAGCCCGTAACTGCGTTCCTATTTAAAAAAAAAAAAAACGGAATGCAGTATATAGATTGGAAGGTGCACAACATATAGATTGTTAGGTTTACTTAACGGAAATATATTATGAAAAATAGCGAATGTTTAGATCAGTCTTTATCAAGAGCCTGATCACAAATAACATTCCGCAAAAAAGCTGAAATGGCATAACCCACGGGACAGTAATCAACAAGAAACAAAGACAACACTCTCAAATGTTAATTTTTTTTTTATTCACCATCGTCAAGTGGTTTGCCTACTGGCATACACAATCATGCCTTTCCTCAAAAGAATACTGTATCTGTGTAGAGTTTCTGATCAGTTATCTCATGATCCTCGCCTTTGTCAAAACCGCTGGGTTGATGTTTTTGTTGAACATTGAATCATTCAGTTGACG